GAATTATTACTAGAAAAAATTACAGCCATCCATCGAATTTATTGTTTCATGAAATGAAATTATTAAAATTCTATGATTTGGTCGATTATAATATTTTACTGTTAATGTACAGAGCTCATAAAGGTGTCTTACCTTCCAACATTCAAGTACATTTTGTTAAAAGAGAGAGCTGTTATTATCTTAAGGGTTTCGAATTGTTTGTGAAACCCTGGTTTCGTACGAGCCTGAAGGARTGAGTCACTTTAATCCAGGGAATAAGATTGTGGCTTGTATATATTGAAGAGAATGATAAAAACTAGTATTCTGAAAAAATATGGAGAAGTATAAGTGAATTCATGCAAATTGTTGTTTGAGTTGGTGTTTTAAATTTTATTTTTAGGAATTTTTCGTGTTTTCAGTTGTTTTGATTTTTGTTGTAATTTACTTTTCTTTTGAACATATTTTGGGTATAAAAAGGGGCAGTTATTATAAGATTTATTCTTCTTCTGCTTGCCTTTCATTTTATTTGATTTTATTTTGATTGCATGTTTTTTTGTACAGTACTTTGTTAATTTGTGTTACAAATGAAATGAATAAAGTAAAAGTGAAGTGAAAAAAATATATCATCGCCTGCCACTGTGAAATTAACTGCATCTATCCATGTGTGTGTGCATGTGATTGTCTGTCTGTTAGCAAAATATCCTCTGAACCAGTAACCAGATTTTTAATGAAACTTTCAGAAAGTAGCCCCTGCGTGAACGTATGCAACAAAATATCTTTTAGGGTGAATTCACCAGGTAAGTCTTTTGATCTGCTTGTTTGGTCTGGACCAAAAGCAGACTTTGTTGTTTTTGCTTTGTGCGGTTTGCTTTCAAATTGTGCTTTTTCGCAAGCAGACAATAATTTATAAACAAAGCCACGCGGGTGACAATCATTGCTCCCATCGGACAGAAATGATGGGGGTGAGACAGAGCATGCATCTGAAAAGAAAGATGGTGCTGTTAATACAACTGTAATACCATTTAGAATTTCAAGAGCAGCTCATTGAAAGGCGGTTTCCCGATGATATGTTGATATAATTTTGGGACGGCTTTGGCAAATGCGTGCCGCAACCCAGAGGAGAAGAGATGCTCTGAATGTTCTGACCCACAACAGCTTCTTGTTTGTAGCATAGTGATAGCATTAGCAACACTGAAGGGCTAATTGTTACTGTGTCCATCCATGAAAATGACAGCGAAAATCAAAAAGAAGAACTTTACGAGTTCAGAGATTGAAGTCCGTCTGTCTGAGATCCAGAAAAAGAAAATCTGTCATTTTTAGCAGGTCAGCTGTGGAATAAAAAGAGCTGCTAAAAGTACAAACAACTGTGTTAAATCATTTTCATTTATTCAGAAGCCGCAGCGCTGCGCACCGTACCCTATTGCTTGTGCAATAGTGGCTCAAGAAGTCCAAAAAGGCTCATGTTTCCTGTTATTGATTCGGTTCGAGGTCGATCTGTATTAGAAGTGAACTGCATCAGAGTTTGTTTGGAAGCGGACCAAGGCCACTTCAAAAGTGGGTCTCGGTCCGGTTGTTTGGTCCGCACCAATGTTCGCATAAGTGTGTTCACCCCTGCGTAAAAGGTCCAGACCAACAGAGGAAACAAACTCTGGTCCGTTTAAAGTGGACCAAATGTGTCAGGTGTGAATACACCCTTAAACTCAACCTGATTCAAGATGGCCACCACAGCTAATCAACCTCACATAACTGATTATAACTGGGTCAGTTTTACAGATATTGAGCAAAACATTGGTGGTAGTCAGGGGCGGAGTGGGATAAGAAAAAATCAGCCCTGGATCCCTAGCACGGCCCACCAAATTTGACAGCATATGCTTTTTTTGTGTGTCTTTTTAATGCACATACCAACTGTGCAACTCTTTAAAATCATATACCTTAACACATGCATGCAATGAGTTACCAAGAATCAGTGAGAGTGCACAATTAATACTTTCAAAAAGTGTTATTTATTAACAAAACAATGGGCCTCATGCAAGAACCGTTCGTACGCACAGATTTGTTCTTAAGTTGTGCGTACGAGTGATTTAGGAGAATTTGTGGCATTCACCAATGTTTTCGTATTCTAAGATTTTTTTCAGCAGGAGACCCTGCTCTCCCCAGCGACACCTTCCAGCTCGTCCTGGGGGACACCGAGACGTTCCCAGACCAGAGGGGATACATAATCCCTCTAGCAAGTCGTGGATTCTCTCCAAAGTGTCAGACATATTTTGAAAACATTTTAAAATGCTTATTTCAGAACCGCAACTGAGACCACCTGCGACCGTGCGGGGGGGGTACGGTGCACAGCGCTGCACCTTCTGAATAAATGAAAATGATTTAACACAGTTGTTTATACTTTTAGCAGCTCTTTTTATTCCACAGCTGACCTGCTAAAAATGACAGATTTTCTTTTCTGGATCTCTGACAGACGGACTTCAATCTCTGAACTCGTAAAGTTCTTCTTTTTAATTTTCGCTGTCATTTTCATGAATGGACACTTCCTTGTATCTGAGGCAGGAAACATAGCCTTATATGGTGTTTTTGGGGTGGTGATTATGCTAATCTCCTCTCGCGTGCACGAGCAGCTGGATATGAACAGGTGGAATTCATTTACACACTTTTCCTGAAGATAGAAGAGTTTGTTGAATCTGACGTGACATGTTCGTACGAACCCTTCATACGAACAAAAGTAAGAGAAATTTAGGATAAGAATACGAACATGTTCTTGCATGAGGCCCAATGTGTCTATTTTAAAAGTTCATTGTTCCATGCTCTACACAAACATATCTCTTGGAGGTGAAAGGGCTACTGTCACGTGATAGATTAAACAATGTCTCTTTAACTTGGTTAATTGTGAAATAACTAAGATGTATGCAAATGGTACTTGTTATATATTTTTCTCATTTTGTATCGCTTACAAGTCAGGCAAAAATTTTGTATAAAACTTAAGCATGCGAGGCAGTGGGCGATATGCGTTCTTCCAATGAATGCTAGTGTGATTATTATTTTATTAGGCTTGTGACAGTATTGTTGTAACATAGTCAAAGTCCTGCCAGACTCAGACAGCTGTGCAGTCGGAAACTCACCATCAGCATACCAGCCGGGAGTTCTCTTTCACAGCTCACTGCTCTCCTCTCATGGTCAGCAGATGGRAAAAAAATGGCTTTAAGATACAACATGTTACAGTCTGTGTATGTAGCGATGTATAAACTGAAACAGCTTTTATTTACTGCTCTTTCATATTTCTGTTTCGTCTGTTGCTGACTTTTTTTTGTAGCTGGATGGTAAGAAACAAGTCAGCATCACAGGTGGTCCTTGTTCTTTTTTCCATTAGCTAAACAGCTGAGTCCTAGATGACCCCTTAGCAATTCAGCAGAGCACCATAAGTCACCCATCAGTACTGTATCAATTTCTTCGTCACGGAAATAGGTCCACAAGCACTTGGAAACTTCTGTCATGAAGTGTCCTTGCTCTAACGCTTGTCGTTTTCCAAATGTATGGAAAACAGTGGCATGTGATACCTAAATCCAGCCTGTCAAGGCGGCTTAAAGTGGCATTAGGACTGGGCCAAGTGGGTCAGTCGGTGCTGAGAGAAAGATTGTTGGTGCTGACTGATTTATCACAGTGGGCAGTGTATTGAGGTTACCGTTCTCGCTGTTGTTTCTGTTGTTGTTCTGTTTGGTCGGGACTTGTTACTATGCTGCAGACAGCCTCAAATCAGCCAGCTTTGTTTCTTGATGGCAACTGTTTGCCTCCTGTACCTGAGCTGTAATCCTGCTATTATCCCTTTGGTAATCATTTTTATTACTGCTGTAAGATTATACAGCTAAGTCAGGTGCTCTTTTTAATCTAAATTTACACTTTCACTGATGCAGCAGACATGATTGTCCATCCATCCGTCCAGTATACCCACTATTTCCTTTCCAAGTCACAGAGGTCACTGGTGCCCATGTCCAGCAGTTACTGTTCGAGGAGCAGGGTTCACCCTGGGGAGGTCACAGGTCCATCTCAAGGCCACATAGACAAACAACCATTCACTCTCTTACTCACAATAGGGACAATTTAGAGTTGCCAATTATTAACCTTACATGTCATGTCATGTACATTTTGGTCTGTGTGAGGAAACGAGAAAATCCACACGTGCAAAGAGTGAACTTGCAAACTCCCAGATTCTATCCAGCAACCTTCTCACTGAGAGGCAACAGCTCTACCAACTAAGCGACTGTGCCGTCCATGATTGTCTAAAATCCTTCCAATGAATTTGTGAATCTAATGTCAGACACTTCTTTTTTTTGGTTTCTTGTTTTTTCCCTGTTTGCCTTTCAGTACCGGATCGGGCAGCTGTACATGATCAGCAAACACAGTCACGAGCAGAGTGAGCGTGGAGAAGGTGTGGAGGTGGTGCAGAACGAGCCTTACGAGGATCCCGAGCACGGATCCGGACAGTTCACAGAGAAACGAATCTACCTCAATAAGTGAGTGTCAAGTTTCTGCCATGTTTCCTACAATGGTGTCAAAACACATTTGAAAGATGGTTTAGGTAGATATTGAATACTCCTCCCTAAAATAGTCTGATCACTGTYGGAGAAATTACGAGCCAAAATTATGCACAATTTGAAATGTCCTAAGAAATTATAAACAAATCTTGAGATGAACTTGTGATAAACTGACTTGCACATCAACTTTCCATCATTTTAACCTCTTCTTGTTCTTCTATAGGGACTTTGTTTTCTCTGCATTTAAAGACACTCAAGTAAATTATAATAAGTAACACAAGTGAGATTATACAAGCTGGTCTGAGCTTTCGTGTTTCAGTATTTTTTTTAATCTCATTCCTTGTTTGTTTTAGCTTKGAGTCTTTAACAAATTGAAACTTGATAAGCGTGAAATTGAGAATTTGATTTTTTTCTTCTGTAGCTTGCAATTAAATTGTCAAATGTGTGCACTCCCTTTAATCTCAGTTATAAATTTGCACCAATTGTGGCAATCACCCACTGCAGTGTGTTTTTTTTCCTTTGCAGCAACACAGCATGAGAATACGTATATGAACATTTCTTATTAACTAGACTGATAGGGGACAAAGAGAGTAAAAGAGCTTAGAAAGAGCTTTGTTCTTGAGAGATAAAAGAAAATTTTATCATGAAACTCTTATGAACTCATTGTGCTCAGTTCTGGGTCCTCATTGTTTCTTTTAATGATTTTGTTCTGTGCGTTTCATGCTTTTAATGTGGGTCTTTTTTAAGTTTGTAATTAATTTGAAACTGCTCTCTTATCGTTGCCTTTTCAGTGAGGACAAAAATGTTAAAACCTGCAGGAGCAAAATAAATAAATAAATAAATAAATCAATTGGCCATACCAACATGTGTGAAATTAAGATAATTAGAAAATATTGCATTTTGGGTTGGCTCTGTTCTTTTACAGCTGATGAAATGCATGTGTTTGGTTAAGCACTGGAATAAAGTGATGGTTGTTTAATTCTATAACAATGCGGTCTACACCAGCGGTCCTCAAACTGGGGTCCCTGGACCCCAGGGGTCCGCGAGAGGTATCTTGGGGGTCCTCAAAATTTTTTATTAAAATGTTAATTTGGTTTTTATTTTTAAAAATGCATGGAGAACAATTAACTAATAAAACAAACATAATAAACTTAATAAAAATATATATTCTCATGGCATTTTGGGGTTGAATTGACAATGTATCTTTTAAAACAGCATGGGGTTTATGAGGGGGGTCCCTGGAATTTTTTTCGCTCTTGTAAGGGGTCCTCAGACCCAAATGGCTTAAGAACCCCGGGTCTACACAACTTGTATTTCTTGGAACTTTGGTGTTTCCAATTAGACTCTCATTGTGTTGGACTTTCCAGAAACTCAAAGTCTCAAAACTTAAAGGGATCCACGATTAGTTGTAACATTAAACTTTTTTTTGATAAACATTTATTTTAACTGTAAAATAAAGACTGTAACAATACTGTAGGCTGTTTGATTTTGTAAATTTTTTTAATGTATTTTAACACCATATACATGGTGATAGTGTCGGGGCTAACGCTAAAGCTAATAGGCTAAGCTGAGGTTCTTCTTCCATGAAGCAGCTCTGTTGTCCTCCATCCATATTTTCAGTTACAGGCTGAGTCATTTCTACCTTCTCCTCTCAGTCAACGCTCTCTGGTTTCATTTAAAAGAGTCAATCATCAGATATTATCCAAGATTAACCTTCAGGGTGGATAAACAGTGGGAYGGAGCCATTTTATTTACACGCAAAGCATTCTGGGTAAATTATAACATCAACTAGGACCACGGTGCGATGCAGCTAGTGAGCTATATCCACCCTGAAGGTTAATCTTGGACAATATCTGACGATTGGCTCTTTAAAATGAAACCCAGAGAGCGTTGACAGAGAAGAGAAGGTAGAAATGACTCAGCCTGTAACTGAAAATATGGATGGAGCCTGTTAGCCTTCGCGCTAGCGCTATACTGCCTTATGTGTATTAGCTCGGCGCTAGCGCGACAAGCTAAACTGAGGTCCTTCATCCATATTTTCAGGGTAAAATAAGTATTGAACATGTCACCATTTTTCTCAGTAAATATATTACTAGAGG